GACGTACCATCCGATGCCAAAGATGGCCCAGTGGAAGCCCCAGAACAAAATGTAGAAGACGATCTTCCGCGGTGCAAAAACCCGCGACCAAACGATGTCTGCCATGATGGTAACTAGGAGGTTGCGTCCAGCATAAAGGAGCGGTTATCAAGGTATTAGGCCAGCCTGAGCAATTACAAAGAATTAAAGAGGTACGGCGAGAAGCGAACGTCGACCAGAAAAGAGGGAACCCAGTCCAAATTCAACCCGGCCAGCCAGATGACGAAGAGAAGTGAAAGAGTGTCGGTGTCGGGAGACGTAGGAAGAGTGGCGTGGTGTCGAGGAAGCAGAGGTAGTGGGTGACGAAACCGGGACCCGGGTGTTATTAGAGAACAGGCCGGAGAGAGCCGTCGTCTAGGGTGGAGCAGATCAGTGGCAGGAGCAAGGAGCCGTTCGAGTTTGGACACAGCGGCTCGCTATGCTGAAACCGACAGGTACTGGCGTGGCCCAAACTGCAGGCCTATCTCAAAGGATTGCCGGTTGCGGCTACGGGCTGCAGCTCAGGCGCAGATGGGCACCCCGTCCCTAAGAGAGTCGCAGCCGCGATGATTTGGGGAGCACGACTATGCGGGGTCGTCCCTTGTAAGAGAAACGTCTCAAGGCGGTGGTGTCAAACAGGGGGTAATGTCCCTTCGGAAGCTGGGTACCGGAGTGAAGACGAGTAACTGGCGATGTTGTGCGGCAATGGAGGGTTGCGACGAGTCTTTGGTCTCTCACTATCTCTTTTCTTCGGGGGAATCGATGCTTTGTTGATGATTGACGCTGAAGGGCTCAAGTGTTGCGTCGTTGAGGTGTTCGCAAAAGTGGCCGGGATGTAGACTCTGACACGCAGGGGTCGGCTGAGACAGTGCACGTTCGAGAGAGTGACGTGGGAGACCGGCAACGCAGAAGCCGAGGATTGGCAGTCTTGAGATGGCAAGCCCCAGGAGTGTTCGTGCAGACGTGGGAGATGTTTGAGCTGGTGGTGAGGTCTTGCACGAGGCGCGCTGTAAGTAATCGTCGGGTTCCACACTAGGGCCAATTCCCAGGTGTCGCCCCTTGTGCCCCTCCGCGCCGGGCGGCATTGGCGCAGGAACAGAGCAAAGACGCGCACAGCATTTGTTCTGGAGCGTCGGACAGGTCTTGGAGGATTGTTCTGGTGTGAATGGGTGAAGGGTGGCGGTGCGGGCGTGGATGAGTATTGGAGACGGGCCAATCCGAGGCGCCGTCGAGCCGCTGGCCGCGGGAAGGTGCGTGCTTGGCAATTCACCCCACCACACTAAACCAACCTCATCCACACGCGCTACTTTGGGCCTACACCACTCAACGTCGTCCATCGCCTCTCACAACATCTCGCCGCGTGCTACTAGCCTCGGAGTCCAGTCATCCATCAATTATTGATATTTTCTCTGCTACCACTACTCAGCCGTTTTGCTGCCTTGGAACTTTAGAAGCGAGATGCAGCCGTGGAGTGCCGCATCCCGTCCTCAGACAAGCTGCGAACGGTGGAGACATGTCACGGCAGGTCCAGCGAGTTGCAGACGTCTGAGCTGTGACAGTGGCGGCGGGCATGCTTTGCATTCACGAATGTACTACTCCACCAATACTCGGCCTTCTCACGCGCTGCCTGATTGAGAAAAGCAACGTCTGCCTGCCATCACGTCACAAACAACATCAGGCCATTGTTTGAAGGGGCATACACTCCAAGCGATCCCCACCGGTTCGGGTACCTGCAGCGAGGTCCAAGTCCCAGGTCCAACAGCAACCGTGTCAAAACAACATCAGACCATAGTGTCGAGTATCAGCCCACTCCGTTTCGACAGATTGCATGAAAAAGCATCACCGCCGCAGCATGACGATAGCAGCCTGCTGAGGTAAACTTTGTCGTATGACTGTGTTTGTCCAAGTCATGGTGTCTTGGATGCGCCCAATTCTCCGACAGGGAGACGGGCGGATGCCGAAAACAGAACATTGCCTATATCCGCGAGCCTCAACCTGGGACCGGGACCGCAGCATTCCGGGCCGCACCTGTGCAGGATACGAGCAGCGGTGAGATGAGATAGACGACTCTCCACAGACAACTTCGAACGTACCAGAAGTCGGAAGCCGACTCGTCCAATTTCTCAGAGGCCATTTCTCTGCCTCGATAGCCGCGAGATAGCGCGATGCACCAGACGCGGTCCAGCACACGGCAGCCACAGACGAGTGCTCCAGTTCCGTCTGCTGGCGGCGTGACTATGGTGCTGGCGATGCTGGGCACGGCGGAGGGGCACCGCCAAGCCAGTGAAGGAGATGTGCGATAGGGCATGGTGCACGTCGCCGTCCAGCAAATTCACTCACAGCTCCGACCCGCTGACTCTCGGCGCAGTGCCGTCCGCTTCTGGCTGCAGTCCAAGCTTGACATGGCACACGGCCTGCATCACATCGCCTGGGCGCTGCGAGAATCCGGGCGAATCAGCGCCGCGCCTGGCTCTGGTGGCGGGGGTACTGTATGGCCGGCGGTTAGGACCAGGGCCTCACTCTCCACATGTCCGCTGCATGCGCATGAACCCTCTCTCCTCTTTACGGACGACGTCCCCCTCGCCATCTCCAAGTGACACGCTCCCGGTCTCGACGCTGCCATCCTGACACGGTCTCTCTCCGCCATCACCTCGTCTCCAAACCGCATCATAGTACCCGTACCGCGCCGATCCTCGACTGCTCCTACGACATTATTGCCAGCCGTTACGGAATCTTGGAACCGCCGCACCGCCTGAAGACTGCTATAACAAAACCCCGGACCCCGCTCGCTGCTGCCCATACCAGATGCTCTGTCGTAGCTACCGGTAGCTCGCTGCGCGACTCTCGCCACAATCGTTCCTCTTTCCTTCTTCGTAGCAGCGGGGCTGTCTTTCTTTAATCATTCTATTCTTCACACACCTCTTTCGCCATGGGCATGTTAATCAAGAACCACTGGGCACGCCTAATAATCTTGACGGCCGCCGCATGTACGTCCTGTCCGATCAGTCGTCATGAGAATCAATATCCTAACTTTCTCAGATCAAGTCGCCGCTGCAGTAGAAGCCTTCTTCTGGCCCAAGATCTTCTGGGACTTCCTCACCAAGAACCTCGACGGCGCCGTCAAGCCCATACCCGCCCTCCAAATCATCAATCTCTTCCTCGGCGTCTTCGGCCTCGCCTTCGAATGGCCCCTCGGATTCATCGCAGGCACTGGCATCCACCGCTCCATTGAAGCCCGCCTCATTATATACCCGCTCAGCGCCCTCTCCGCTCTCCTCATCTACCAAGGCACAAATTCCGGGCTCTACTATATCGTCGGCATGATTGCCTACTTTTGGGCGTACAGCGAAGGCGAGGTACGATACTTATCACTACAATGAATGAGCAATTGAGCTGACTTTTGTACAGATTGTATGTCCCGAGCCCTGGACACTACCGAAACGCGGGTCAACAGTGCGGAATCGAGTGTAGCCTTTCCTCGATCTTTTCTCTCTTCTCAATCTTCACCAAAGATACCAAGACATGATGATTTTTGAAATCCGCCCAAGTGTGTCGCACAGCGGAGGGCGTTTCTGGACGATGCAGAAATGCATTCATATAGCATAGCGAAATGAGACTTCTATTGAGTATGTGGGCGATATGCCGATACTACTCGCAAACTTGGCTACTTCCAAGACGCGTGTCTGCCCGAGCTGCGCTACTCGCACATCCACATCCACATGCACTTCATCAACAAGAAAACCCTCACAATACCCCAATGCTATCTTGACCCAAAAAAACCGACAACGTCACCAAGCAAGCCCTGATTCCGACACACAACCCGTCACATCTCCATCCCAAAACCCACACTGTAACAGCCCGCGCTTCAGCCTCACCTGTGGCCGCATTAACGACCACACCACAGAACCACTCACCCACTCCTCTCCTCCACTCCAATCGTTTATGAATGAACCGTACCACACACATGCATATGCACACTTCCCATTGCGCACCCTGACCACGCGATCGATCAACCTCGTCGATCCAACACACCCTCATGAGGCTCGGCGGGTAGCTGCATGCGCTATCCCCGTTTCAGACCCGTGGACGTTTTGGCCCCACGGTACGGAGTCGGACAAGGCACGGGGCGAATGTATGTGTATTGCGCGATAGCGGCTAGACGCGTGGGAGGGTGGGTGAGATTTTGGTGAGTATGTACGCCCCCCGCCCGGGGCGGGAAAAAGAGTATGAAGGTGGGTAGGGAGTGGAAGTAGGGTATGTGTGGTTGTGGAGAACGGTATGCTGGGAGGGCGGAAAGAGACGGGGAGAGCAGGAGTGTTGGCGAGGGTGTGTAGAGAGGTATGCGAATATTGAAATCGCAACATTTGAGTCTCGCAATACATTTGCGTGTCGACATCATCTTTCTCTACAAATACATGCATTTGGTCTAGACAGCGCGGCTCGGCACTATCCGTCTTACTCAACCCATCTTACTCACGGATTCCCTCCCTTCTCACGCCCAGGGCGCAAGAGCAAGACTCCGGCTTAGACAATCTCTAAGGCGACCTGTCGTAAGTAGGCCTTAGAGATTGTCTAAGCCGGAGTCAATAAGACAACGCCCCAGATGGCTGCGGCACGCCTTACACGCTCTGACTGAGGTGTGTGTACGGATTGCATTATCGATGATGAACGCCCACTTTGATGTTGTTTTATGTAGTATATCTCACGTCAGTCTTGTGGGTGTGGATGTGAAAGTAAGTGGATTTCCAAGGGTTCCACGTGTCCCTGGGAGACGCCAGCGGGAGATGTAGCGATATTGTAGGACAGATAACTTAATAGAATGTAATCGTTGTTTGGAAAAGTGTTGTATACCGAGAGTTTCAAAAGAAAAAAGATAGATTGAGTTTTGAAGCAACCGGCGTGATCGAAGTACCACAGCCTCGATGCTCACTTACCTCTCACACCCTCACGAAATGCCCCAAAAAAAGAAGAAGGCATGGACTTGAACCATAGCCGATTCGAACGGCTAACCTTCTGGAGGCTCCAGAGATGAGGAAACTGGAATCAGACGCGCTACCGTTGCGCCAATGGTCCTGATGAATGTTCACCTTTCTCTATCGGGGTGCAAGCTGTCATGTTTTCGGTGGCGGTTGGTGGGTAGAGCGGGTTTGTGGTTGATGGGATTCTGGATTGTGGGGTGATCTGGATTGAATTGGAGTATAGGCCTGATGGGGAATTTATCTTTGAACAATGAGGATGGATAGTTCCACCATAATGGAGGCGAAAAAAGCGTTGAACTCGTAGCATCCAGTTTGGAAGATCTGAAAAGGGAAACAAGATAACGACTGCTTTGTGAGTGAATAGAATCCAGCCGAAGTCCGCGGATACAGGAGGACTTTGATGTCGCCATAAGGTTAGCCATAGTGTTACCCCAAGGACGCAAGTATACATATCTATGATACTAGGTATATTCATCTTGCGGGAAGTATGTGTACATTCTCAACCGACGGAGGCCCTACAAAGTGAACAAGTCGAAACAAACTGAAGAAGCCAAATGTAGTTCAGGTATCGAGTAGGGGGTCGCTCATCTTCGACATGATCCAATGGTGGAAGAATGTCGCACAAGGCATGGTGAATGTCAAAGGCAGCGCCAAGCGCGCTAGCGACAGCCGCGCTGAGAACGGCTCCTTCGCTCACTATCCTTCACGCAGACACATACAGGGGACTGGTTTCTCCGATCTCTGCCTACAGTTATCCTAACATGTTTTTGTGCTCAACAGAAAGAATAATACCCATGTGCAAGATTGGAAGAAGCCTCATTTTGGACGCGCCGTGGACTTGACCTCTTGACGTCATTGGTTACACTCACAACTATGGAAGACATCGATTCATCCCAAGCATCCTCAATAGACACAGTACCCAAGCCACCGGATCTAAGTAGCATCCCACCAATTGTGGTTGTCTCGGCTCATTTCCAGAACGATGAAAAACAAGAACTGGAAAGGAAGTTGCGCCGACATGGCGCACCGCTCACCGAAGATGTGTCAAAGGCGAAAGTTTTCATTGGAAAAGTGGGGACGAAAAGACGAGCCGAGTTCGAGTTGCGGAGTCGGAAGTTCACAGTCGAGGAAGTTGTCGAGGGCGCGGTGATACGCAGTCCTCCGAGGGACGATGGCCCGCCCAGCAAAAGGAGGAAGGTTGAAGGATCTTTGGCTAAGCCGATTGTCGTCGATGAGGAAGGCTCGGTGACGGAGGAGGAACCGGAGACAGAGGAGAAAAACGATTCTGAGACTGAGGATGAGCTACCTTCTGCAATTGAAGACGCGCGCAGTCCCTCCCCTGATACGGCTGAGACAGTGGCCGCCTTAGCTAGAGCCGTATTCGGATCCGAGGACGGAAATGATACTATCTGGTTCATCAAGACAGACTGGCTGGATCGTTGCATATCAATAGGCCATATTCTACCTCTTGCCGACGACTTGGTATACAAAGGCCGAGTGCTCGAACGACCCCCTGCGCCCTCTTCCACGCCCCGATCAGACACACCGTTCTTCTCGTCTCCCGCTTCAAGACACACCTCAATACCAGCATCACGAACGACCTCAGCGGCTCCCCCAACCCCTACCCGCAGCATCCTAGAGCGCGCCAAACTCGACGCCGCCACCGCACCAGCCCCCTCCCGTTACATCCCCAACCAACACCCCAGCCACGGCTCCCGGCGCTTCGAGACCTCCTCCTTCGCCTCCAGCGCCCTCAAAGCCAGCCAAATCACCCACCAAACCGCGCACCTTCTCCAACAAACCACCAGCGAGTACGAAGGCACCGACAGCGACATCCCTGAGCCCCCGGAATGGGTAAAAAAGGGCATAAAATACTCCTGCCAACGCTTCACGCCCCCCAACCCCCCCAACGCCCCCTTCATCGAAGAGCTCAAAAAAATCCGCACAGCCCGCATCCTCATCGACGACGAAATCGGCGTCCGCGCCTACTCCACCATCATCGCCGCCATCGCCGCATATCCCTACCCCTTCACCTCCCCCCGCGAAATCCTCCGCTTACCAGGTTGCGAAGCCAAAGTCGCGAATCTATGGGTCGAGTGGAAGAACACGGGATCCATCCAAGCAGTCGCCGAATACGAGGCCGACGACGCTATGAAAGTGTTACGAACCTTCTACGATATCTGGGGCGTTGGCGCGAAGACAGCCAGGAATTTTTACTATAACCATCATTGGACGGACCTCGATGATGTTATCGAGTACGGCTGGAACGACCTCGACCGCGTGCAGCAGATTGGGTTGAAATATTACGACGAGTTCCTCGACGGCATTCCTCGCTCGGAAGTCGAGAGTATCGCGGACGTCGTGCGTCGCCAAGGTGTAAAACTACGCGATGACCGAATCACAGTTACCGTGGTTGGCGGGTATCGCCGTGGAAAAGAGTTATCCGGCGACGTCGATATGATAGTCAGTCATCCCGAATTGGCGTCTACAGCAGGATTAGTACAGGAACTTGTCGAGTCGCTCGAAGAAGAAGGCTGGATAACACATACACTCTTACTCTCCCTTAACAACACAAACCGCGGCCAACACACCCTCCCCTTCCGCACCTCGAAACAAGCGGGTGTGGGCTTCGATACATTGGATAAAGCGCTCGTTGTATGGCAAGACCCGCACTGGCCCATGGAGCCTCAAGATCGTGCGGAGAACCCGAACGCGAAGAACCCGAATATTCACAGACGCGTGGATATTATCGTTTCGCCGTGGAGGACTGTCGGGTGCGCGATTATGGGATGGAGTGGGGGCACCACGTTTCAGCGCGATTTGAGGAGGTATGCGAAATATTATAAGGGGTGGAAGTTTGATAGCAGTGGGATTCGGAGTCGGGAGACGGGCGAGGTGGTGATGTTGGAAGGCCCGGAGGGGGTTGAGGGGACGCCGGAGGAGGCGGAGAGGAGGGTGTTTGAGGGGTTGGGGCTGGAGTTTGTGCCGCCGGGGATGAGGTGTACGAATTGAGTTTGTGTCGTTGTTGAGTGCTTGGTTGGTTGTTGTTGCTTTGGCGACTTAGGTCTGGTTACGCTGTGTAGGTTGTTGTAGGAATATCGAAATGGTATATATGCTCTGAGTAGGTTCGTTTAGGTCAAACGCCCAGGAGCCCACTTTGAAATAGGAATTGAGAAACCAACGCCGGTTCAATGTAGGATGCATAACACCCTCTAGCCTGAATTCGACGCAAAGAAGCTCAAAAAACTTCCCACAGTGAGACCACCCACCAGCGCCAGTGACATGAACCCTCCAGCGGCCTCCCTTTCGTCAGCATCCACGTACTCTACAAAGCCCATCATGCAATTACTCCCCAGATACCCGTTACTCATGCCGAAAAGAAGTTGAACAACGAAAAGATAGAAGACGTCAGATCTGATAGCTGCGCCAGTGCCGCCGATGTTGCAAAGCAAATATAGGGGAATAAAGAATAAGCGGAGAAAGGAAAGAAGAAACAACAGCCGGGGGCGAGACGTGAGACTGAACTTGGGAACCGCTGGTATGACGCGGCCAATGAGGTCTCCGACGTTCCAGAAGAGGAAGGCGAGGGGGATGAATGAAGAGGGTTGGAAGAGACGAGGGGCAGTGGCTGGGTCTCTTACACTGAGAATCTGTTGTGTGTAGACGGGGAACATCATGGTGATGGCGAAGGTGACAAAGACGGCGGTCGCCAGGAGATAGAGCTTGGATATCAGAAGTCTGAAAGGGACCGTTTTGTGAGGAGCGCTGGACAAGCCCGTTGTCTCGTCAGACGACACAGTTGCTGTGGGTTTCATCCGACTTCGAGAGCTGTCGCGCGTGAGCATGTAGAGAAATGCAACGAGAGACAAGGCGGAAACGCCCGTGGCAGTCAGGAAGTAGGCGAAAGCGGATGTGCTCGACTGTTGAGCACCGTCCTCTTTGGACTTGCTGTCTGGCACGGAAAGGACGGAGACAATCTGCGCAATGCAGGGCAGAACGCCTGCGATTCCTTGACCAGCCATGATTCCCTGCGTGTATTCCTCGCGTCCGAAGCCGGCCACGTAGGCAAAGACACCGTTCTGGCACAGTCCAGTGGCTAAGCTGGCGCTGAAGACGGCGATCATCAGAAAAGCAAAGTAGCCCCCAGTTGAGACGTCCAAGAAGACCCGTGTGGACAAGGCCAGGAGAGTAAAAACCACACTTTGGATGGCGAGGGACACCATGATACGCTTCGGATAGTTTGCACGCGCTTGTAGTTTCGTCAAGACGATCATGGAGCCTAGATTCCCGACCGTGGATACGGATAGCTCGGCGGACTGGAAGTTGCGCAGCAGAGACTCGTTCGACTGGAATCGCCGTTGGAAGTAGGGGGCGGCAGCTAGGAACATGTTCCTTATCATAGTCAGGACGAGTCATCACGGAGGGCGTGGAGTCTCTTACCAGGCCCATAGCATTGCCACCCCTAGCAGAACGAAGACCGAGTAGTCAACCCATGAGAAGCTCTGATCCGCTGCTTCTTCGATACGTTCGCCATCCGGAGTCTCTGAACCTCCCTCGAGCGGTTCATATGAGGGATCTCCTCGAAGGAGCTGTCTGAGTCGGTCCATGATACGGTATTTCAAGCTCTGATTTTGAGCTCTTCAGGAGAGCGGTAGGTCTACTAAGAGGACGGTGGTGATGTGCATGTTCTACTCGAGGCGTGTGACGTTGAGGATGGGAAAAGCCCTGGAGTGTGGGTGTGCTGACAGCGTCACGGTCACCCGGAGTTAACGGCGGCCTGCCTCCGCGGATCTGGCTCGGACATGGAAGAACGTGGTGCCGTGATGCGGCCAGCCCCGCTCCCCCGCGCTCTTGGGAGATTGAGAAATTTGGTGAGTCAACATTTGCATTACTTCGACCAAACATTGCAAAACCGCCGCAGTCAAACCCCGTTTTCGATCCAAAAGTCCATTAGCCTGCATATACCCCACATACATACCATCATGGCGTCCACCGAAGACGCATCCACGAAGCTGTACGACGACCCGGAGACCGGAGAGAAGATCTCCAAGAGCGAGCGTAGGTGGCGTCTCATACGGGCATGGAGGAATTGCT